GCGCTCAGAGACTCAGATCAAACGGGCGTTAGTAACAAGCAGCGTGTTGTGTGTTCAGCCGCTGGTGATCAGAGGTTGTGCAGCTCTATCATGAAGCTGGGGAAGCTTAATAAAACTGTAGAAGAAGATGAAAGAAAGAGCGCACAAACCTTGCGCATTACCTCAATAAATAGTGACTAATTTTATTATTAAGGAAATATACTCACAAAGTGATGGTATAACAGGCATAAGTAACCATAATCCAAACAGGGTTACAGGTAAATCCAAAAGGGGGGGGGTGAAGGCTAACACGTTTTGAAGGGTGCTCCCTTCTTCATCAGAGCTGGGTTGAGCAGATAGAGGCTTCAGTATGGCAGAGTTCCCATGGCAAGGAGATATTCAGCCACTGAGTGTCAGTATTACAGGCTGAATGCCAGGCATCACCGTTGCCTACAGAGAAGACTATGTCACCAGTGTTGATCGATGTCCCATATGTCGCCAATATGAGATCTGGTGAGATTTGTTGTTCTTTAAGAGCAAACTGGGCCAGATGTCATATGGTGCATTTCTGAGATCAGAAGCAGATGTCACCAGTGAGCTGGCACAGAAAAAGGAAAAGGTCAACTACTGGTAACATTCTCTTCCAATTGGGGAGGAACAGACCATGGAGACTGCAGGGAAGATAAATGCAAATAACTATTACCAAGTTTAATTATTTTAAAGGGTTACTTCACCTTATCATAAAAAATGAAAAACATGAACTAACTCAGAACATCCTCCCCACCCCACCCCATGCACTTAGCTTCTTCCAGAATGATCTTCCACTGACTATGCTAGCTGATGTAGAGGTCCAGGCATTAAAACGCACTCTTGTGCTTCCTTCGTTCTTCAAGCAGTCAGTCCCTGCACAAAGAGGGCTAGGAGAGCATGGTCACATGCTGGTGCAGACCAATGGCTGCTTGCTGTTGCAAACTTTATACCACTACACTGAAACTATAACGCTTGCATGGGCAGCACAAGTTAGTCGGGAAAGGAGCTAAGTGCAGCGGGGTTTGGGGTGGAGGGGGTGTTGTGAACTCATTTTATTTCTATAAAAAGGTAAACTAACCATTTAAAATAATAAGTTTTATTAAGGTGGGGGGTCCACTATAAGCCCTGGTGTATAGTAGGGATGAGCACGGGTTTGGTTCTAACTTGGGCTCAGACTAAACCCAGAAGGAAGCTGTCAATCCCGCCCAATCAACTGCAGCCAGTGCTTTCCCCACCTCGCAGCTGCATGTAAACAAAGGGGTGGGGATGTCTGTGACATCACATTGAAAATGGCCACATCAGGTCAATGTGATTAACACTGCAAGTAATAACCAAACCTGAGCTTACCCCAATGTAGACGTGAATGGAGATGAAAGAAATACAATTTCAGGCTGGAATCACAGATTTATTTTTTTATTATTTATTACAGCTACTAATATAGTGCTGTCAATTTACGCAGCGCTTTACATATATATATTACATTCACATCAGTCCCTAACCCTCAAGGGGCATAAAATCTAAGGTCCCTAACTCACAATCATACATACACATACTAGGGCCAATTTAGACAGGATCCAACTAACCTACCAGCATATCTTTGGAGTGTTGGAGGAAACCAGAGTACCCGGAGGAAACCCACGCAGGCACAGGGAGAACATGCAAACTCCAGGCAGGTGGTACTATGGTTGGGATTCGAACCAAACGACCCTAGCACTGTCAGGCAGAAGTACTAACCCTTTAGCCACTTTTATCCAGATGTGCTCTCCATTGAAATAAACACAAATGCATCAAAAAACAAATTGGTGTATAACACCATACAATGTACTAGAAGATAAATACACATTTCAGCGTACGTAGTGTTACCAGGAACATGCAAGGTAACTCAAGACATCCTTCCAGTTGTAATTTCTCAATTTACTGCAGTTATCTGAGCCATTCAGCCATTATTCAAGATTTATCGGTGACACAAATGTATCATTCTTACACTATTTTGACAGAAGTATTGGGACACCCCTCCAAATCAGTGGATTCAGGTGTTCCAATCACCTCCATGACCACAGATGTAAAAAATCAAGTAACTAGGCATGCAGACTGCTTCTACAAACATTTGTGAAAGGATGGGTCGCTCTCAGGAGCTCTTATTGCCATCTCTGTGCAATAAATCCATCCATATAATCTCCTTGTACTAAATATTAGCAATGTTAGTGGTATTATAACAAAGTGGAAGCGACTGGGAAAAACCGCAACTCAGCCATGAAGTGGTAGGCCACAAAAAAAGACACAGTGTCAGAGCATGCTGAAGCGCACAGAAGTTGCCAACTGTCTGCAGAGTCAATAGCTAAAGACCTCCAAACTTCGTGTGGCCTTCAGATTAGCACAACACAAGTGCATAGAGAGCTTCATGGAATGGGTTTCTATGGCGGAGCAGCTGCATCCAAGCCTTACATCACCAAGTGCAATGCAAAGAGTCAGATACAGTGGTGTAAAGCACGCCGCCACTAGACTCTAGAGCAGTGGAGACGTGTTCTTTGAAGTGATGAATCACGCTTCTCTGTTTGACAATCTGATAGATGTGTCTGGGTTTGGCAGTTGCCAGGAGAACAATTTTTGCCTGACTGCATTGTGCCAAGTGTAAAGTTTGGTGGAGGGGGGATTATGGTGTAGGGTTGTTTTTCAGGGGTTGGGCTTGGCCCCCTAGTTCCAGTGAAGGGAACTCTTAAGGCGTCAGCATACCAAGACATTTTGGACAAATTCATGCTCCCAATTTTGTGGGAACAGTTTGGGAATGTCCCCTTCCTGTTCCAACATGACTGTGAACCAGTGCACAAAGCAAGGTCCATAAAGCCATGGATGAGAGAGTTTGGGGTGGAGGAACTTGACTGGCCTGCACAGAGTCCTGACCTCAACCCGATAGAACACCTTTGTGATGAATTAGAGCAGAGACTGCAAGCCAGGCCTTCTCGTCCGACATCAGGGCCTGACCTCACAAATGTGCTTTTGGAAGAATGGTCAAACATTCCCATAGACACACTTCTAAACCTTGTGGACAGCCTTCCCAGAAGAGTTGAAGCTGTTATATCACAAAAATAGAACAGAAAAAGCCACCTGAAATAACACAAATAGATTGTGTCCTAGTATTATCTCCGACTCACTTATCATAAAAGTGTGGATTTATAAACCGAAAATACATAATAGAAAATATGGTAGTGTGACAAGAGCAACACCACCCAAAAGAAAAGTGGTTACTTAGAAATCCACGCGGAGTAATGTAAGTTTAGTAGTTACAAAAAGTACTTTATTTGATCACATAGATCATAAGGAGGTTAAGCATAAGCACGGTGAACATATCAAACAAATAAAATCATTTAAAAGCACTTGGCGTCTTCATTTCTGGGTGATTTTTTGGCACATAGGGAACCATATAGGGCAATGGAGTATTCTCTAGTTATATAGTCCTAGATTTCCATATAATTCAATCTTGTATTTAGATTAGCCATGTATTTTTCAGATGTATTCTTGGTATAAGCCAGGATATGTAGGATAACTTCCTGGTAACTGGAAACTGGAACAGAAAAATATGATGATAAAAAAGCTTAAATAGCACATAGATCACACCTTAGCTGCCCCATGCATAAGTAACCTAGTACTTTAATTACCTTCTCAGTAGCTTGGCTGTCATACCAGCATGATGGATGTAGAGACTTCCTGGGTAACCACCCCAGGTGAATCAAAGTCCACAATAACAAGTGATTCTAGAGATATATATAAATATAGAGATCATAAATAGAGATGAGCGAATCGAACTAGGCGAAGTGGAATTCGTTTCGAATATTAGAAAAATTTCGATTCGCGCCGAATCCGAAAATTAGCATACTTCGGATGCGCGAATCGTAATTTTTCCTAAAATGGCGGCGACATGTGCGGCGACGGAGCGGGGATGTCTGGGAAGGCGCGCAGACAAGGCGCGCTGACCCATAATGCATTCATTCATGACATGTGATCGCATTAGCCAATCAGCAGCCAGCCAGCCAGCACTGTGTAATGGTCGAGCTATAAATGGCGGCCATTTTAGAATTCTCCATTTGCCTCCGGTCATTCAAGAGAGGCAGAAACTGGCTGTATTGAGGGAGAGAGTTAGGGACACAGAAACGTTACTTAGGGACACAGAAATGTTACTTAGGGCCACAGAAACGTTACTTAGGGCCACAGAACCGTTACTTAGGGCCACAGAAACGTTACTTAGGGCCACAGAAACGTTACTTACGGCCACAGAAACGTTACTTAGGGCCACAGAATTGTTACTTAGGGCCACAGAAACGTTACTTAGGGCCACAGAATCGTTACTTAGGGACACAGAACCGTTACTTAGGGCCACAGAAATGTTACTTAGAGACACAGAATTGTTACTCAGGGACAGACACAGAATTGTTACTGAGGGACACAGAATTGTTACTGAGGGACACAGAATTGTTACTGAGGGACACAGAATTGTTACTCAGGGACAGACACAGAATTGTTACTCAGGGACAGACACAGAATTGTTACTCAGGGACAGACACAGAATTGTTACTCAGGGACAGACACTGAATTGTTACTCAGGGACAGACACAGAATTGTTACTGAGGGACACAGAATTGTTACTGAGGGACACAGAATTGTTACTGAGGGACACAGAATTGTTTACTCAGGGACAGACACAGAATTGTTACTCAGGGACAGACACAGAATTGTTACTCAGGGACAGACACAGAATTGTTACACAGGGACAGACACAGAATTGTTACTGAGGGACACAGAATTGTTACTGAGGGACACAGAATTGTTACTGAGGGACACAGAATTGTTACTGAGGGACACAGAATTGTTACTCAGGGACACAGAACTGTTACTCAGGGACACAACTGTTACTCAGGGACACAGAACTGTTACTCAGGACAGACACAGAATTGTTAATGAGGGACACAGAATTGTTATACAGGGACAGACACAGAATTGTTACTGAGGGACACAGAATTGTTACTGAGGGACACAGAATTGTTACTGAGGGACACAGAATTGTTACTGAGGGACACAGAATTGTTAACTGAGGGACACAGAATTGTTACTCAGGGACACACTCAGGGACACAGAATTGTTACTCAGGGACACAGAATTGTTACTCAGGGACACAGAATTGTTACTCAGGGGAATTGTTTACAGGGACACAGAATTGTTACTCAGGGACACAGAATTGTTTACTCAGGGACACAGAATTGTTTACTGAGGGACACAGAATTGTTACTGAGGGACACAGAATTGTTACTCAGGGACACAGAATTGTTACTCAGGGGACACAGAATTGTTACTCAGGGACACAGAATTGTTACTCAGGGACACAGAATTGTTACTGAGGGACACAGAATTGTTACTCAGGGACACAGAATTGTTACTCAGGACACAGAATTGTTACTCAGGGACACAGAATTGTTACTCAGGGACAGACACAGAATTGTTACTGAGGGACACAGAATTGTTACTGAGGGACACAGAATTGTTACTGAGGGACACAGAATTGTTACTCAGGGACACAGAATTGTTACTGAGGGACACAGAATTGTTACAGGGACACAGAATGTTACACACAGAATTGTTACTCAGGGACACAGAATTGTTACACAGGGACACAGAATTGTTACTGAGGGACACAGAATTGTTACTGAGGGACACAGAATTGTTACTGAGGGACACAGAATTGTTACTGAGGGGACACAGAATTGTTACTAGAGGGACACAGAATTGTTACTGAGGGACACAGAATTGTTACTGGGGACACAGAATTGTTACTGAGGGACACAGAACTGTTACTCAGGGACACAGAATTGTTACTCAGGGACCAGAACTGAATTGTTACTCAGGGGACACAGAATTGTTACTCAGGGACACAGAATTGTTACTCAGGGACACAGAATTGTTACTCAGGGACACAGAATTGTTACTGAGGGACACAGAATTGTTACTCAGGGACACAGAATTGTTACTCAGGGACAGACACAGAATTGTTACTGAGGGACACAGAATTGTTACTGAGGGACACAGAATTGTTACTCAGGGACACAGAATTGTTACTCAGGGACACACAGAATTGTTACTCAGGGACACAGAATTGTTACTCAGGGACACAGAATTGTTACTCAGGGACACAGAATTGTTACTCAGGGACACAGACACAGAATTGTTACTGAGGGACACAGAGAATTGTTACTCAGGGACACAGAATTGTTACTCAGGGACAGACACAGAATTGTTACTCAGGGGACACAGAATTGTTACTCAGGGACACAGAATTGTTACTCAGGGACACAGAATTGTTACTCAGGGACACAGAATTGTTACTCAGGGACACACAGAATTGTTACTACAGGGGACACAGAATTGTTACTCAGGGACACAGAATTGTTACTCAGGGACACAGAATTGTTACTGAGGACACAGAATTGTTACTCAGGGACACAGAATTGTTACTCAGGGGACACAGAATTGTTACTCAGGGACACAGAATTGTTACTCAGGGACACAGAATTGTTACTCAGGACAGACACAGAATTGTTACTGAGGGACACAGAATTGTTACTCAGGGACACAGAATTGTTACTCAGGGACACAGACATTGTTACTCAGGGACACAGAATTGTTACTGAGGGACACAGAATTGTTACTGAGGGACACAGAATTGTTACTGAGGGACACAGAATTTGTTACTCAGGGACACAGAATTGTTACTCAGGGACACAGAATTGTTACTCAGGGACACAGAATTGTTACTCAGGGGACACAGAATTGTTACTGAGGGACACAGAATTGTTACTGAGGGACACAGAATTGTTACTCAGGGACACAGAATTGTTACTCAGGGACACAGAATTGTTACTCAGAGGGACACAGAATTGTTACTCAGGGACACAGAATTGTTACTGAGGGACACAGAATTGTTACTCAGGGACACAGAATTGTTACTCAGGGACACAGAATTGTTACTCAGGGACAGAGACAGAATTGTTACTCAGGGACACAGAATTGTTACTCAGGGACACAGAATTGTTACTGAGGGACACAGAATTGTTACTCAGGGACACAGAATTGTTACTGAGGGACACAGAATTGTTACTCAGGGACACAGAATTGTTACTCAGGGACACAGACAGGGACACAGAATTGTTACTGAGGGGGACACAGAATTGTTACTGAGGGACACAGAATTGTTACTCAGGGACACAGAATTGTTACTCAGGGACACAGAATTGTTACTCAGGGACACAGACAATTGTTACTGAGGGACACAGAATTGTTACTGAGGGACACAGAATTGTTACTGAGGGACACACAGAATTGTTACTGAGGGACACAGAATTGTTACTGAGGGACACAGAATTGTTACTCAGGGACAGACACAGAATTGTTACTCAGGGACACAGAATTGTTACTGAGGGGGACACAGAATTGTTACTGAGGGACACAGAATTGTTACTCAGGGACACAGAATTGTTACTCAGGGACACAGAATTGTTACTCAGGGACACACAGAATTGTTACTGAGGGACACAGAATTGTTACTGAGGGACACAGAATTGTTACTGAGGGACACAGAATTGTTACTCAGGGACACAGAATTGTTACTCAGAGGGACACAGAATTGTTACTGAGGGACACAGAATTGTTACTGAGGGACACAGAATTTTTACTCAGGGACACAGAATTGTTACTGAGGGGACACAGAATTGTTACTGAGGGACACAGAATTGTTACTGAGGGACACAGAATTGTTACTCAGGGACACAGAATTGTTACTCAGGGACAGACAGAATTGTTACTCAGGGGACACAGAATTGTTACTCAGGGACACAGAATGTGTTACTCAGGGACACAGAATTGTTAGAGGGACACAGAATTTTGTTACTCAGGGGACACAGAATTGTTACTCAGGGACACAGAATTGTTACTGAGGGACACAGAATTGTTACTCAGGGGACACAGAATTGTTACTCAGGGACACAGAATTGTTACAGAACAGACACAGAATTGTTACTCAGGGACAGACACAGAATTGTTACTACACAGAATTGTTAGGGACACAGAATTGTTACTCAGGGACACAGAATTGTTACTGAGGGACACAGAATTGTTACTCAGGGACACAGAATTGTTACTCAGGGGGACACAGAATTGTTACTCAGGGACACAGAATTGTTACTCAGGGGGACAGACACAGAATTGTTACTCAGGGACACAGAATTGTTACTGAGGGACACAGAATTGTTACTGAGGGACACAGAATTGTTACTCAGGGACACAGAATTGTTTACTCAGGGACACAGAATTGTTACTCAGGGACACAGAATTGTTACTCAGGGACAGACACAGAATTGTTACTGAGGGACACAGAATTGTTACTGAGGGACACAGAATTGTTACTCAGGGACACAGAATTGTTACTCAGGGACACAGAATTGTTACTGAGGGACACAGAATTGTTACTCAGGGACACAGAATTGTTACTCAGGGACACAGAATTGTTACAGGGACACAGAATTGTTACTGAGGGACACAGAATTGTTACTCAGGGGACACAGAATTGTTACTCAGGGACACAGAATTGTTACTGAGGGACACAGAATTGTTACTGAGGGACACAGAATTGTTACTGAGGACACAGAATTGTTACTGAGGGACACAGAATTGTTACTCAGGGACACAGAATTGTTACTCAGGGACAGACACAGAATTGTTACTGAGGGACACAGAATTGTTACTGAGGGACACAGAATTGTTACTCAGGACAGACACAGAATTGTTACTCAGGGACACAGAATTGTTACTCAGGGACACAGAATTGTTACTCAGGGACACAGAATTGTTACTGAGGGACACAGAATTGTTACTCAGGGACACAGAATTGTTACTCAGGGACACAGAATTGTTACTCAGGGGACACAGAATTGTTACTCAGGGACACACAGAATTGTTACTGAGGGACACAGAATTGTTACTCAGGGACACAGAATTGTTACTAGGGACACAGAATTGTTACTCAGGGACACAGAATTGTTACTCAGGGACACAGAATTGTTACTCAGGGAGGACACAGAATTGTTACACAGGAATTGTTACTCAGGGACACAGAATTTGTTACTCAGAGGGACACAGAATTGTTACTCCAGGGACACAGAATTGTTACACACAGAATTGTTACTCAGGGAGGGACACAGAATTGTTTAGGGACAGACACAGAATTGTTACTGAGGGACACAGAATTGTTACTGTCAGGGACAGACACAGAATTGTTGTTACTGAGGGGGACACAGAATTGTTTACTGAGGGACACAGAATTGTTACTCAGGGACACAGAATTGTTACTCAGGGACACAGAATTGTTACAGGGACACAGAATTGTTACTGAGGGACACAGAATTGTTACTCAGGGACACAGAATTGTTACTGAGGGACACAGAATTGTTACTGAGGGACACAGAATTGTTACTCAGGGACACAGAATTGTTACTCAGGGACACAGAATTGTTACTGTTACTGACTCAGGGACAGACACAGAATTGTTACTGAGGGGACACAGAATTGTTACTCAGGGACAGAATTGTTACTGAGGGACACAGAATTGTTACTCAGGGACACAGAATTGTTACTCAGGGACACAGAATTGTTACTCAGGGACACAGAATTGTTACTACTGAGGGACACAGAATTGTTACTCAGGGACACAGAATTGTTACTGAGGGACACAGAATTGTTACTCAGGGGACACAGAATTGTTACTGAGGGACACAGAATTGTTACTGAGGGACACAGAATTGTTACTCAGGGACACAGAATTGTTACTCAGGGACACAGAATTGTTACTCAGGGACACAGAATTGTTACTGAGGGACACAGAATTGTTACTCAGAGGGACACAGAATTGTTACTCAGGGACAGACACAGAATTGTTACTGAGACAGACACAGAATTGTTACTGAGGGACACACAGAATTGTTACTCAGGGACACAGAATTGAATTGTTACTCAGGGGACAGACACAGAATTGTTACTGAGGGACACAGAATTGTTACTGAGGGACACAGAATTGTTACTACTGAGGGACACAGAATTGTTACTCAGGGACACAGAATTGTTACTCAGGGACACAGAATTGTTACTGAGGGACACAGAATTGTTACTCAGGGACACAGAATTGTTACTCAGGGACACAGAATTGTTACTCAGGGGGACACAGAATTGTTACTGAGGGACACAGAATTGTTACTCAGGGACACAGAATTGTTACTCAGGGACACAGAATGTTACTCAGGACACAGAA